ATTCTAGAAGGCCGGTGAATTGTCTTCTGGTAAGAGAGCATATACAATGTTGTACAAGACACTTTGCGATACTTTGATAGTTGGCTGTTGTGCATAGTTAAAGTACACGGGAGACCGATTGTAAAATGCTATTAAATATGTTTCCTACATCATGCGCTTTTTAGTTTATGGGGCGGGCATCACTTTTAGGCGTTCGAACGCCGCTTTCTCGAGCGCTTCTCTGTGATCGGGATGAGCCACCTGAATTAACTCATATGCACGTTGTTGAAGACTTTTGCCGAATAGACTGGCAATTCCCTGCTCTGTCACTACATATCGCACCACCGCTCTGTTGGTGACTACTCCAGCACCTGTTAGTATAACATGATGAAACAATTTTGATTACGATTTATTTAATAAATTTGCAATTATTAAAATCAATGCGAAATTTAATGATTATAAAATCATTAATGTTTTCGAAAACATTCATGTTTTAATTAAAAAAGTTATTTCAAATAAATAATACAATATATTAAAATTAATAAAGTAATTGAATTCCTTATAGTTGCAAATAAAAAATTAATTACAAAGGGGCTAATATGGAGTCAATGCTATAAATGGTGCGCAAATTTTTCCTAAATTAATATTTAATAGATGATATACAAATAATATACATTAACGTTTCCACTATTGATTTTAGCCATCTTCAGAACAATATTAAATCCTACCCTAATAATTTCTTCCTATGGTAGTACTCCTTAACCCAAGAATAATGATATGTCCATAGTACACGAATTCATGGGGAAGCACAATCTTCGGTCCACGAAGTTACCTTGCTTCTTGGCCGAGATATTGAGCTCAATTTTATAAAATTGATCATTATAAAATTGACTGTAAAAGAGCGTTGACGTCTCTATTTCGTTTTAATTTATTGTAACGATCTGACAATTTCCACCATTAATTATGGATTTTTGTGACTGAGCGGCAGTGCACGGAGCTTATGTTTGAGTTCAATATCTTTTCGTGTGCTATGAACATATCATTATTTTTGGATTAAGGAGTACTACCATAGGGAGAAATTATTAGGATGGGATTTAATATTGTTCTGAAGATGGCTAAAATCAATAGTCGAAACGTTAATGTATATTATTTGTTTATTACCTATTAAATATTAATTTAGAAAGAATTTGCGCACCATTAAAAGTGATTTCATCTACTTACCTGATGTTAGAACCGGTTGTATTTTGCTTTGGCCTTTAGAGGTGACTGATTGAAGCGCTACGATTGGTTTTCCTTGTCGATCTTCGCTCATCGCGGCGCCTGTGATAAAATCTAACTGTCCACCAAAACCGGAATACATTCTCGTACCAATACTGTCCGCACAAATCTGACCGGTGATATCCACTTCAATACATGAATTAATGGCCGTCATCTTCGGTTGCTTGGCAACTATTCTAGGATCATTAACGTAATCTACCGCTAACATCTCTGTAAGAGACAAAAACTATCAAATATGTCTGTTATTTTGAAAACTAGCAATAATATTACAAATAAAAGACGAATACAGACGAACTGACCTATGAAAGGATTGTTGTCCATAAATTCATAAAGCTTTTCTGAACCCACGCAAAATGAGCCAACAATTCGGCCCTGGTGTATCGTCTTCTGATTGTTTGTGATGCAACCCTTGTTCACAAGATCCACTACGCCATCGCTGAACATCTCGCTGTGAACACCCAAGTCCTTGTGGTTACCCAACAAGGACAATACAGCGTCAGGTATACTGCCAATACCCAGCTGCAATGTGGCACCATTTACCACCAAATTCTCGGCGATATGTTTGCCGATCATCTGCTCAGCCTTGGAAGGCGCTTTCACCGGATGAACTGGCAGTGGTTTGTGATATTCCACGGCAAAATCCAAATGACTTTCATGAATGAGAGCGTCACCGAAGGTCCTAGGCATGTATTTATTGACTAAAGCTGCAAAAAATTTAAATTTTCTTTAAATTCTGTTACCAAAAGAGATTAATTGCGAAAATGTTCCAAGATTTACCTATGACACGTTTGGAATAACTCACAGCGGACCGAGCACAGTCTATACTGGTGCCGAAGGAGCAGTAACCCTTTTCATCCGGTGGGGACACATGGATAAGAGAGATGTCAGGCTTTACATAGCCCTCCTTGAAGAGACGCGGAATCTCGTGCAGAAAAATGGGAACGCAGTCAGCGTTGCCTGCGTTCACCGCGGATCGCACATTGCCACCGATGAATAAGCTAATTGATCTAAAGTGCTCTAAACATTTATAAACGCATTACATTTATAAAAATAAGTTTATTATACAAAAATTTTATTTTTAAAGTCTTTTAATTAATTTCGATTTTTTTCAGCATAAATCTAATTTTTTTTTCTAAATTTCTTGAAGTTGATTTTTAAAAAATCTCTCTTCAAAACAAAGCATATTTGTAAATTTCAAATTTTCAAAAGAAATTAAAAAGAGGATGTTAAGTTAGGGCCGTTTTTTTTTGGCTAAAATGAAAATAGTTCCGAGATATACCAATTATCATCATATTAAACGGCTACAAGTGGAGTCGAATGGTATATCGCTTATTTTGAGAAAACGTCGGGAACGTGGGAGAAATCGTCAAAACAAATAAATCTATCATATTTATGCTATCACGTTTATTGAAAAAGTAAGAAAAAGACAAGAATTGAGCCTATTACCAGACGCTTTTAACGTTTGTGAAATCATTTCATCCTTATTGCTTATCAAAAAGTAAAGACAAATGATAGTCGCGAGCGTTGTGAGCGTCAAGTGGAATGCAGCTCTAATAAGTTATGAAAAGCGTTATCATTGTCTTTTTTTAAATACTTTTAATATCTCCAGTATGCGTTACTACATATATTCTGAAAAAATATGTAGTATTTATTGAACAAATTCTATATAATCACTTTTTTAGATCTAAATCTAAGAATTTTAACGGTAAATTTTCCCATGATTCTGATGTTTCCCCAATATATAAGCGATATACATACCATTCAAATCCGCTTAACGGTTTAATATGATGTATCAGATATATATTTTGTACATCTCGGAATTTTTACATTTTGGCCGAACAACGGTCCTAGCTTAACATCCTCCTTTACATACAAACTTATTCAGGTATAAAATTATGCAAAATAGAGTTAAAAGAAACAAAAGTCAGCCGTACAGAGCCAGCTGTGCGGCGCAAAAAGTGTGAGGAACAAAACAACGCGTTAAATGCGAGTTGTTATTGAGATATTATAAGAAAAACAGCAAGAGATTACGTATAAGCACGAATGTAACGTACTTGCGTTTTCTGGCTTAGCAAACGGAGCAGCTCCCTCGAGATGCATGTGATATAAACGGACATTTCTTACATCGCAGCGTACCCCGTAGTCGGTCATCGCTCTTAGTAATTCAACGGGTGTCGCGGCCGCACCCTGAACGTACACCACCTGATCTGCAAATAAAAAGAATTGAGAAACATTCTTTCAATGCACAAATCAAGATTCCATCAAAGCAAAATTTACTCGAAATTAAATCGGCACTGAGATCAAATAGAAAAATTTGTAAACCCAAAGAGTATGGTATGGCTGGATGGATAAAGTGTGTTAAGGGGATGCTAGAGCCGCCTATATGATCGATAAAATTAACGTTTTCGACATTTTCGTTTCTGTCGAATTTCTTCGTAGTGGTTTCACAGAATAAAAATTCCTTTTCCACGATTAAAATATATGTACATGCTAATGTATTTGTTGCTGGTGTATTTCATGTCCAAAGCTGAAAAAAATAAAAAATTAGATTTCTTTATTCATTTTACTTTCAACGTTGGTCGCCATACTGAGATAAAAATGGATAAAGAAATGTGTAATTTTTTATTTTTTCCAGCTTTGGACATGAAATACACCAGCGACAAGTACATTTTAAGGGGTTATGCCTACCTGCATGGTCGGAAAAACATGTATTTTTGGGAATGTTTTTTTTGGAAAAACTTGAAATGCTTTTGAAATGAACGTTTATGTTTTCAAAATATATGTATTTCGAGGATAATTCAGTATTTTTTTTATTCAAAAATATCGATAAATAAGGAAGATGTGAGTAATCTCCCAGAAGCAGTTTTTCTAGAAGCGTTTTGCGGTGACCATTCTAGTTTTGAGATGGTTTATCTCAAATAAAAAAATCCGACAAATTTAGTTAATATATAAGATTATCTAGTGCCCGATCGTTCATTTTTTTGAAAAATTTATTTGTGACAAAATGGCGGCTGTTCAAATTCGAAGGTACGATTCTTCTACCAAAGTTCGCTCGTTTTTTTATCAGTAAAAAAAAAATAAGCAACGAAAAAAAAAACCACGATCGGGCACTAGATTTTTTAGTATTAAAGAAGCCTACCAAATTTAATTTTGATCGATGCAGCGGTTCTCGAGATATTTTGGTCACCGATTTTAAAAATGCGGTTTTGAGAAAAATGCGTTTGAAGTTTGCCAAGTGATTTTGAAAGGTATCTCCTAAAACATATCTTAGAATCCCCTAAAAACCCCTAACAGCTAGAATCAAATCCCCTACATTTTCCCCCAATAGTTTGGACTGTACAAAATTAAAAAAAAAATACGCAATTTCACGTAAAATACCTGCTTCAAACGTTCAAACCAGTATACCTTTAAACTCACATAACTTCGTCAATTTTTGTCGAATCGACTTGAAATTTACAGGGAATATTTTTGAAAATATGTACTTTAAGAAAATATTAGGTATACAACTTTGCTTCCGCCGTTTTTTTTCCGAAATTCGAGGCTTTATTGTAAAGAACTGGTTATACATTTATGATTCAAAGTATTGTCCATCGCTGACCACTACTTTCTCCCATCTTTCAGGCAGCGTAGAATGCCGCGTCGAAAAAACTGATCATCTTTTGAGGCGATCCACGAATCGATCCAATGTTTTACTTCTTCATAAAACCGGAAATGCTGGTCAGCCAGGCCGTGCGCCATTAATCGAAACAAGTGATAGTCAGAGGGAGTAACGTCTGGAGAATACGGCGGGAGGGTAGGACTTCCCATTTCAACGTTTCCAAGTATGTCTTGACCACTTTCGCAACATGGGGTCGAACATTGTCATTCTGCAACATCACTTTATCGTGTCTCTTGTTGTATTGCGGCCGTTTGTCCTTCAATGCTCGGCTCAAACGCATCAATTGCGTTCGATACCGATCGCCTGTGATTGTTTCAGTCGGTTTTAACAGCTCATAATACACTACGCCGAGCTCCCACCAAATACAGAGCATGACCCTGGAGCCGTGAATATTCGGTTTGGCCGTCGACGTGGAAGCATGACCGGGAACTCCCCATGATTTTCTACGCTTGGGGTTATCGTAATGAACCCATTTTTCGTCCCCAGTCACAATGCGATGCAGAAATCCCTTCCGTCTTTGCCTTTCAAGCAGCTATTCACAAGCAAACAAACGCCGTTCAACATCTCTCGGCTTCAACTCGTACGGCACCCAATTTCCTTGCTTCTGAATCATTCCCATGGGTTTGAGGCGTTTTGAAATGGTTTGTTGAGTCACTCCCAATGATCGTGCCAATTCTTCTTGATTCTGACACGAGTCTTGATCAAGTAATGCCTCCAATTCTGCATCTTCGAAAACCTTCTCTCTTCCACCGCTA